AGCTGGGTTCCCCAGTCAGTAATGATGGTAGGCCATGGCATCAGAAAACATGCTGTAGAAAGAGTTGAGCAGTCTGTGGGGCTGTGGGAAACTTCCTGAGGGGAACAAAGTGAGCCGTTTTAGTGAACAGGTCCACAATCACCAGGATAGCTGTGTTCCCCTGTGAGGGGGGCAGTTCTACTATGAAATCCATGGACACAAACTGCCACGGCTGGTCAGGGGTGGGGAGGGGCTGCCAAGAGACCCTGTGGTCTCTGTAGAGGTCTTTTGGTGCAAGCGCAGGTTTCATAGGCCCAGATGTAATCAACCGCATCTGTTCATACCATGGGCCACCAGTAGGCCTAGGTAATCAAGTGCTGTGTCTTCCAGTGGCCCCTATGTCCAGCTGCAGGTATATCACGGCATTGATGGAGGACCTGTGCTCGCAGTGGTCCCTGCGGCATGTAGAGCTGGGGCGTGACAAGGGCATGACAAGGTATAGATGTGCTCAAAAGGCACTTCCTTTCCTGGGACCAAGTCAATGGGGCAGTCATACAGGCGATAGGGCAGCAGCATTTCTGCCCCCTTTTTTCCAAAGATGTCAGTAAAGTCACTTGCATTCATCTGATTGATAGTGTTGTTGGCAGGGGCCCAGCAGCCACAGCAGAGGCACGGTCATGATCTGGGAGTGTAATACTGGGCATGACTATAGCATGAGCATGGTCCTCCGTTGCAGTCCTCTCAGGGTTTGGTATAGGGCTCTCAACAGCAGACAGGGCTGTGGCAGTCATTTGGCCAGACAACTGCTCACATGGTGTGTAGCCAGTAACATGGGAATCTCCGGACCATCCCACACAGAGCCCTGTGGTAGGGGAAGCGGCTCCCAGGGCAGGCTCCTGCCCTCAGATCCTGGGTCTTGCCTTCCCACAGGGAAGTACAAGGATGCCAGCCACCAGTCCTCCCATATATAGCAGTGACAGTGGTTGGGGTGGGGGGAGGTGAGGGCAAGCCCCATAGCAGTCAGCTCAGGGGAGCCATGGGGCCAGCCCCTGTGCAGCCTGAGGTCCAGGCTTCGTGGTGCTTATCTCAGGGCTCAAGACAGCCTGTGCTAACTGTCAGGGAGCAGTGAGGGCCAGCTGCTCTGCAAAGGCAGGGGAGTCAGGATCTGAACACAATAATAAGGCAGGTGGGAGCAGTGACTTCACCAACAAAGAAACCAGGATGCTGAGTCAGCACATCCAGGTCAGGATCAGGACCAGAGACAGTGATCAGGGTCAGCCTCGGTGCAGTGATCACCCAGCAGGTCTGTAGTAATGAGGCAGGTCCAAGGTCAAGCCAGGAAGCTGAGCCAGAAGGTCCAGGTCTGGGTCAGAATTGTGGAGGTACAAGACTGGACGCAGACACGGCTGCTGCATAGCTGCGATGTAGCACAGGTGGGGCCAGTGGTGCAGCCTCAGCTTAAAAGCAGCTCCCAAGGGCAAGGAGGGGCAGGGCCTTGCTTCTAGCTTGCTTCACAACAGCTCTTAGCAGCAAAGGAGCTGCTGACCTTGGACTCAGCCAGCTAAACTCTTTCACTTAGCCAACTAAACTCCTAGAAGTGGGGATGCGCTCCAGGCCCTAACACCATCATACCCACATTGAATATCAGAGGTGGAACATGTTTGGGGATGAAAAGAAAAAAGGGCAGATGAGCTGCTCCATAAGGTATTTAGAGACTGCCAGCAGGTAAGGCCAGTTCCAAGTAAAGCCAGCCAGTGAAAGATGGAGAGATGATGATTACATTGCCAACAGCAGCACAGGCTGCTTGATATAATGGACAACAAGCAGTAGAAAACACAGATCACTGACAGCCTCTAGTCATTTGGGCAACATTCTGAGTCCACAGTACCTATGGGAAAACCATAGTCATAAGTGTCTCCCTACCAAAAGTTGACCTGCTAAAGTCAACCCTATTAACTACCAACCTGTTTGGCACTTTGGGTACCCAGATTACCAATGGCAAGGACAACCTGCTTTTGAAATGCAAAATCTCTCTCCTTCAGATTCCAGTACTGAAGGACTGAGGAACTGAAAGTCTGTTCAATAAAGCTGTTTTTATCTTGTCCCCAGCTTCTATGAATAGACATCTTGTCACTCCAGATCTGTCAAGGTCACAGTCCTACTACTCTACACTACAATTTCCCATCAGCCTTAGGAAATTCCACAGCAGATTCTTACACAGTTAGAACCCTCATTAACTGTCATAATTGCTCCAGTTCTACACAATCTCCTTAGCAAGGCACATTAGACCTTTGCAGGGCAATAAACCAATGCCAAAAAACTCTTGCCCTTCTCTTGCTTTTTCCTTTTCCTGAATGAAACGAGGGCATCAGCAATAGCTGGAATAACCTTGTCTCAAAAGGATCCATGCCAAGCTAACTATAGTTTCATTTACAGAGATGGTAATTTAAAAGCAATTCCATATAGGAGCCTCAGAACGAATAGATGAGTTTCCACATAATATTCTGCAGAGAAATTCAAAGAATAATACTTTGTATAAGAGCTATGAGATATCCTGCTGGAATTCCAGGCCAAATGACCCTTTCACTGTAACAGTAGCGCAGATGTAATTCTACTTGTCTGTCATAAGGAGTAGGTAGACAGAAATCTTTGTGTGGCCCTGGGCCACCAAAGCCTCAAGTCATTCTACAGTGAAGAACAAGTTCATTCACTGGTGAGTACCAAGAGTCACAACAAAAATCAAATCTGTGAGCCAATAATACAGTATCTAGCTGATTATGAAACAAACTGAACAGTCAAACAGAAATGGTGGAAACTTCAAAAGTCCCAAGGGGGGGGTTGATTTTCAAGGATCACCTTCTCCAAGAATGGTCTGTTCCCACATGCAGGAAATCAAGTAAAGGTGGCAGGGAGCCTGCATGGATGAACAAGGAGTTCCTGACTAAACTCAAACATAAAAAGGAAGTGTGCAAAAGGTGGAAACAGGGACAGGTGACCCAGGAGGAATACAGAGACACTGTTTGAGCATGCAGGGATGGGGTAAAGAAAGCCAAAGCCCATCTGGAGTTGAATCTGCTGAGGGACATGAAGGGCAACAAGAAGGGCAACAAGTATGTCATCAGCAAAAGAAAAACTAGGCAAAATGTGGGCCTGTTGCTGAACGGGAACGGGGACCTGGGGAGAGGGAACATGGAAAAGGCTTTTTTGCCTCAGTCTTTACTGGCAAGACCAGCCTTCAGGAATCCCAGGTCTGGAGAAAGGAAGACTTACCCTTGGTGGAAGAGGATCAGGTTAGGGAACACTTAAACAATCTGGGAATATACAAGTCCATGGGACCTAATGGGATGCACTCACAAGGGGTACTGAGGGAGCTGGCTGATGTCATTGAGAGGCCACTCTTGATTATCTCTGGAAGGTCATGGCGATCAGGAGAGGGGCTGAAGACTGGAAGAAAGCCAATGTCACTCCTATCTTCAAGAAGGGCAAGAAGGAGGACCCAGGAAACTACAGGCCAGTCAACCTCACCTTGATCCCTGGAAAGGTGATGGAGCAGCTCACCCTGGAAACCATTTCTAAACACATGAAGGATAGGAAGGTGATCAGGAGTAGTCAGCATGGATTTACAAAGGGGAAATCGTGCTTAACCAACCTGATAGCCTTCTATGATGGAATGACTGGCTGGATAGATGAGGGGAGAGCAGTATATGCTGTTTATCTCAGCTTTCGTAAGGCTTTTGACACTATCTCTCACAACATCCTCATAGACAAGCTGATGAAGTATGAGTTAGATAAACGGTGAGGTGGACTGAAAACTGGCTGAACTGTTGGGCTCAGAGGGTTGTGATCAGCAGCATGAAGTCCAGCTGGAGGCCAGTCACTAGTGGTGTCCCCCAGGGGACAATACTGGGGCCAACGCTGTTTAACTTATTCATTAATAACCTGAATGACAGGCAGAGTGCACCCTTGGTAAGTTTCCAGATGATATAGAACCAGCAGGAGTGGTGTGCTGCTATTCAGAGGGACCTCAACAGGCTGGAGAAGTAGGCTGACAGGAATCTCATGCCATTCCACAGAGAGAAATGCCAAGTCCTGCACCTGGGGAGGAATAACCCCAGGCACCAGGACAGGCTGGGGGTCGATCATCTGGAAAGCAGCTTAGCAGAAAAGGACCTGGGAGTCCTGGTGGACAACATGTTGACCATGAGCCAGCAGTGTGCCCTTGTGGCCAAGAAGGCCAATGGTATCCTGGGCTGCATTAGGCAGAGTGTTGCCAGCAGGTCGAGGGAGGTGATCCTGCCCCTCTACTCAGCCCTGGTGAGGCCACACCTGGAGTGCTGTCTCCAGTGCTGGGCTCACCCGGAACAAGAGAGACATGGACATACTGGAACACGTCCAGTGAAGGGCCACAAAGATGATTAAGAGTCTGGAACATCTGTCATACAAGGAGAAGCTGGGAGAGCTGAGATTGTTTAGTCTTGAGAAGAAAAGACTCAGGGGGGGATCTTATCAATGTGCATAAATACCTGATGGGAGGGAGTAAAGAAGACAGAGACAGACTCTTCTCAGTGGTATCCAGTGACTGGACAAGAGGCAATGGACACAAATTGAAATACAGGAAATTCCACTAAAACATAAGAAAACACTTTTTTTTTTAAACTCTGAGGGTGGTTGAACACTGGAACAGGTTGCCCAGAGAGGTTGTGGAGTCTCCATCCTTGGAGATATTCAAAATCTGACTGGACACAGTCCTGAGCAATCTGTTCTAGTTGACCCTGCTTTCAACAGGAGGATTGGACTAGATGATATCCAGCGGTCCCTTCCAACCTCAACCATTCTGAGAGAGGCAGAGAGAAAGCCACAGAGGCATCAGGGAAAGTTACAAATAGAGAGAGGTGGAGAGAGCAAAAGGTGGCAAGAAATGGAGACAGAGAGAGAGACACAGGGAGGGAGGGAGGAGAGGGACGGTCATAGAAGAGAGCAAGAGGGAGGGATGAGAGAGGTCAAGTGGGTGAGTGACTCACCCCTCCTGCCTTTAGGAGCTTTCTTCTGAATTCCTCTGCTGGGTTGTTGAATGTGAGCTTTTCACAGCGGAGGTGATTTACAGGTGGGTGGCCTTCAAGGTGCAGGAATAAGTCATAGTCAAATCGTACTTTCTTTGGTTCTTCCTGAGGATTGAAAGTAACCACACAGAAACATTTAACATCAGAACTATCTTGAGAACAAGGGCTACATAGAAACTGTTAAAATGACATAACTTTCATTTTAATTAACCGTTGTCTATGTGCTCAGATAGATGATAGAACTTACAGAGCATCAACTTAGCTACACCAAATCAGAGATGCTCCTATCAGCCCATGATAACAAAAGGTAAGACACACAAGCTTCAAGCTTTCCTGACAAGACTTATTTGAAAGTATTTTACCTTACATTTGCTATAATGTAAAGTCATAGGCATAGTCAAGTATCATGATTCAGCTGACACAAGGCAACTCAGCCCCCAGTACAAATACAATCACACTTCTGAGCCCTAAGTAACACACAAGACAATTTTAAATGCAAATTCCTCCACAGCAATCAGTCACTTTATTTTGTGAGTTGTAAAAAGGGGATAAGATAAACTGCTGCAGCAAGTCATATTTGATCTGCTGTGTATGGTGTCTGCTCATTTTTGTTTTGCCGTTTATTGATGAAATCTTATTGCCCTTGAACCCATGTGGCCAGCTAGATTTGAAATATTCCACCACAGCTTCCAAGTGACTAAAATCCTCTGTTGCTATAGTGAAAAACAAAACTTGAATGTTCCCTGTACCAATATGGAGAGAGGAAAAAACAGGAAAGGAAAATATATCTTAGAAGAAATCAGCAGTGCTTTATTATTTAGAGAAATCTTCTGGAGAAAAAAAAAAGAGCATTAATGTCACTTAACAGACTCCAGTTTGTAACATCAGAAAAAAGAAATTAAGCTAGCTTCATGTTGTACATTTACACAGTTCTCATCTATTCCTCCTCTAGAAGCACTAAATAGGGCAACTGCTTTATTATAATAGGCAGCATTAAACAGTCATTCCTCTATAAAAGCCCAAGTCAGTCTTATAAGGCAGGACACAAGTAAAAGATCAGATTCATAAATGACTTTAGGATAAAGGAGGGTGGCATGGAGGAGGAGGGAAGATATACAGCAAAATCCAACATGTCTTTCCGATCAAAAGGTATGCCTGTGTGCGTGTGTACGGGAAGGGTTGGCATTCCTCTGATTCTTTAAAACTTGGAAAGCTTTCTGTCAGAGGGCTTAGATCCCTACCAACTTCTGCTTAGTCTTGCGAACAGGAACACTAATTCTTTCAGCACAATATCCAGATAGCTTCCTGTAACCCCTGCCTTCTCTAGACATTAGGATACCTTCCAAATCAGAAATGGAAAAGTTGTCTACCTTGAATAAGTGATGATGGTCTGTCTCCTCTTCCTTCTCCAATTTATCCCCTCTTTTTCTGTATTGGAACCCCTGTGAAGTGGCTTAGGGAAGGAAGAGTAGCTGAGCCAGGAGAAAGCAGTAATTTCCCTGAGGAATGATGGCCCTATTTTTTGCTATTTTTCCTTTGTATTATACTGACCCCAGGAAAGGGTCTGGTGCTGCAACTGTGTGGAGAACTAGCTGACTCACAGTCCAACTGCTGCTTGTTGTATTCCATGACACCAATATAGGGGTGAGGGATGTTTGCAAACTTCCTAATTCCAAATGCTGCTTGAGGGTGAGGTGAGTTGTAATCATTGGCGCACTCTTGATTTCAGTATAAGCCACAACTCTTGCTCGAGATCTCCTGATATTTGCAGGCCTCCATATTCAGCAAAGGCAGCCAAAAGTCTGGGTGGAAAACAAACAAACAACAACAAAAAAGACACAAAAAAGAAAGACAGGTCGGGCAGGAAGCCTTCTGAAGAGATTCTTCAATGAATCACTGTCTTCTGACTCAAAGTCCCCAGGTTTTGGGATTAACTCTGAACAGAGAAGTTAAAGACCCAGAGAACAGGATGCTTTTCCATAATAAAATTTCATTTCCTGAAATGAACCAAGCTGCTCCGCTAATGGAGACAGAGCCAAAAAAACATAACAAAAAAGCCAGTTAACTCACTGAGGCAGTCTTGTTTCCTCCACCAGCAGATGAGGTACACTAAGCCCTACTCTCCACAGATTGATACAGGGAACATTTCAGAATTAACTGTTCAAAGCCTACAACCTAGAAAGTACCTGAGCAGAATAAACCATGTCATGCCTTGAGAGTGCTTTCCATGGAAGACCAAAGGATACTGGAGTTTCTATTTAACAGTATATGACACTAACATAGTTGTACTCCTGTAAACTAAATTTTAATAGAGGAGGTTTCCACTGAGAGTCTTTTACTATGCAGTACTATTTTCTTTTGTTTTTACTCTCCACCAAGCATTCAACATTTTAAAGATGATAAAACATCTACTTGATTAAAACAAATATGTTAAAATTAATCTCAGTATTATAAAATGAGTGCACACATATTAGGAGCAAACACAATGTATAATAGTAGGTCTACCAAACTACATGACATACACAAGGAGCCTGAAATATCGCAACTTTAAAAAAACTGTATGTTAAATTCAAGAAGTTGTGTGAGCATTTATTTTTCTCTTCCATTCCTGCCAAAACCAATTATTTTTACCTGAAAAATTTATTAGCTATATAGTCCCTTTTACGTACATTAAAAATCTCAGTATTTGCTACCTAAGGGGCCCACAAAAAACACAATATTTATTTAGACACAGAATGTGAGATACCACAATAACACAAGCTTTGTAGAACAGTACTAGTTCTGTTTCTAAACTGTGCCCCCTGGCAACGTTGAGTTGAGTTAAATCAATATTCATGTACACTCTAAAAGAATGTTTTTTTCAGACTGAGGATATAGTACAGAAGCTCCCTTTGAAAAACTAAAAAAAAGTGAACAAATTAGAGAGCGTGGCAATATTAAAATAGAACAGTGGGTTCATTATTTAAAAAAAAGAAAAAGAAAAATCAATAGGATCAAGCTCAGCTTCCTTCCCCTTATGTTTAAGTGGCTCTTGAGCGTCTTGAAGCATTAGTTGAAAAATGTGTCCATTTCTGGCAAAGGCTAGTAATCTTCTGAATAATTACAGCTAGCTCCTTTATTTTAATCAGGTTATCCTAATTTCATAGGGCTATCTTCATAAGTAAGATATGGGCAAATTTAAAAGTTATGGTGAATTTGAATTAAGGAATAGCATTTATAAAGATATTTTCCATGCTAATATTTTTACCAGGTTTGTGAATTAAAACACAAATCCTAAAAACAGACTTTCATATGAAATTCTTTATAGAAAGATGAAAAGGCATCTGATTACACACCTTATTTTTGAAGTAAACCTCAATTGGCAAAATGAAACCAGCATACCCAGATTCTTCAACTTTATAGGGTGGATCTTTGCACACTGAAACAAAGAAAAATCTTTACTTAATTTAAAAAAATAATGTTTTAAATAATACAAAAGCAAAATCAGTCAGCAAATAACTTGTGTGATAATACCAGTAAGGTAGCACCATTACAAAAACACACACAATCAGGGATACATCCTGGTGCATCTCAATAGGAATTTTGCAAGCAGGTCCTGCCTGCCAGGACATGGCCTATAATTTCAGGGTTAGCAGCACAGTTTTTTCAATCCTTTCAGATCTCTAAAAGGGAAGAACCAGGGACATCAATCCCAGCTGGACCTGCTGAGTAAATACAGTGGCTACATAGGGCACTGCAGCCCAGGGTCTGTCCTGGGAGCAGATCTACAGGATGCTGCTCTGGGAAAGTTAAAGGTGTGGAAGACAGAAGCACTGCCACTCATGTATTCATGACATAATACCTCAAATTAAATTAAAATCTGCATAACCTGGGGAAAAATATTCCAGCATACAATGGAGAACCTCAGAAAGGTTAACAGTTCTCTCAATATTAAAACAGGAACCAGCTCTACACTATAGGATTTAAACATCTCTAACAGGTTAGTTAGCATTATTAGCTCCAATATACATAAATAAACATTTCCTTTAAGTTATTAGTCTATTGCATGGACTTTTAGTTGTGTGAAATCCCAACAGTATGGAGCATGAATAGTGACTAAAATGGCACTAGACTGTGACTCAAGTCAAATGAAAGCTGATCTTAAAGAAAGCTAGGAACAGAAGCCTTCTCTTCCTCCTCCTTTTCAACTGTGCTGAAACATTATTACAGAACTCATGCCAAGGAACCACATAAGCACCAAGATAGACTGAGCTTGAGAAATCATGCGTCTCCTGCAGCGTTAACTTAGATGCTTCAAAATATTGCATTAAGGTTTGTAACAAGTAGTTTCCCAGGCACTTGTCTAAATGGCATCATAGGTCACTGACAGTTTTTCTGCTGATGACTGGTAGAAACAATGTAGTTCAAACATGAAGGGCTGACTTCTTCAGAACTGTTTTGCTCTAGCTGTATCAATGCCAGCTAATTGAAGGAAACCGCATACTGACCTATTCACAGTTGTCTTATCATTTGCTATGTAAATACTACCCTTCTATGGCCAAACTAAGTCTTATTTCCTTCCCTTTGAGGGGGATAGAGCTGTCACTCCACTGATCGCTCATTTCCTTTGAAGTGGAAATACAAATGTGTCATGTATCTCAAGCACCAGAAAAAATAGAACACCTTCTACACAATATTAGCATTCAGAGTTAAACTATCAGTGTCCTATTCCTCAGAACAAGATGCCTTCTGTACAGTTCATATAAATGTATTAACTCATTTATCCTGATTTTCTGCTTATTTATTCCACAACCAAAGCACTACTACTCATTTATCTGTGTGTACACATTCCCATGCACCACAAAAGACATCAACTCACACTAAGAAACAGATGTAAACCAAACAAAGAATATGCAGTTTGGTGACAGTGACCACATAAAAAGGTATCAGGTAAAAGATAAATAAGGAGTCTTTGGAGATACAAAGACAAAACCAACAGAATTCTAGCTACAGCCATCAATTTTAGAGGTTTAACATGAGATCCATTTTACACTAGTTATTTCATCCCACCAAAACGCACACAAGTTGAACAGACCATAGCTAAAGTATCCTGCTGTTCTTATACCTCCAGGCAAAGATACACACAAAAGATACTTAATATGTTTCAATACAAACATTAATCCTAAAAAGTGTTTTATAATAATGGTGCATGAATTCTGCTCCCTCTGTAGATGCCATGAATCCTGGCTTAAACCCACTGCAGGCACTTACAGGATTGTTTCCCCAGTTGTAGAGTCCTGTCTTAAACATGCACAGAAGCTATTTCACACTCACAGAGAAGTGTCAGTCCTCAGTAAACCCTTCTGAAAGATCTACGTACATGAAAGGTTACAGTCCATACTGAGAATTCAAGAAATGGCTCTCTAAGAACTTGCTGCTCCAACATTCTTAAACACTTTACTATGAGTAGCATTTTCTCTGATTTAAAAAAAAAAAAAAAGTAATTGCTTTTCTTTTCAGGGTCACCCATTCCAGAGGTTCCCTTGAAATAGATGCTAACAGAGTAACTTCAGGATCATGCAGAACTATGACATGTAACAGTGAATGCACAGTGTGTACCCTCCAAATTTTATGAAATGTGTGCATTATATTCACAAGATGTGAGGAAGTGAGTTATGCAAGTAACTCCTCGTGAATGCTAGTAACAAGACATAAACCATTATGTATTCAGTATTTCCTATATATTTTGATGGAGAACTGTTTCACATCTTTTATTTTTATATAGGTATAGAACCTTGCCTGTGATCCATTCATACTGGCTATCCTTCAAGCAACATTTCCCTCAATTCGCTACCACCTTAATTAAAGGAAGTCTCTCAACAAAAGGGATGGTATTTACTCTTAAATGAAGGTAGTTCACAGTCCCAAATCCACCCTGCTTTAAAAATTCAGCTGGCTTTCCATAAGAGCTCTCAGAGCTACTCAGTAGCTAACTTTCCCAGTTGGTGGGCTTCAATACTTTGGCTCTACAAAAAAAGGAGATGGAGAGAGAATATAGCTATTATACCCTAACTTGATGCACACTTTAGCCATTACACCATCAAATTGCTATGAAGGTTCCTATCAAAAGCTAGCAGAAATGAGCAAGATAGGTCTGGTATAAACTGTACTTCATATGCAAGGAATAATGAGTTCCCAGCTGTATGATACCTTATGCTGACAAATATTTCATGAAATAGAGACAATCTATAATTGAAAGTATAAATAAAAAGAGACAACATTGAAATTGAGCTTTCAGCATTGCATTTACAATCATATCAAGTTCTCTACCCCACATGCTGAATGTCTACATGCCCACCACTTCTATCAATGCAACAGTTTAGCAAGATGCAGGCTTTCACTGCTTAAACAAAGAGAACACTGACTAACTTCTGGAATAACATATACTGTATACAATTGTAGTGATCCTAACTGGAAGACTATTGCACATCAAGGAGTCAGTGATCCACATAACAGTTAACCTGAGTAGGCGCAGGCCTGTGCTGTGTGATGCTGCGTGCATAGCTCGGCCTTCAGGCCTGTGCTGTGCTGTACATATCCCTTGGCCACAGGATAAACTTGGCCAGCTAATTGTAATCAAGGAGCCTGTAGGCAGCTCCCACTTGGCACCTGCAATTATGCCACCTGTGTGTCCTTGTCTTTATCTAAAAGTGAAGCAGCATGTTCTCATGTGAGCATCCTTTTGCTTGGCAGCAGCAATGATGAATAGAATTGGTTTCTTCCAAGAAAATCCTATAAGAGCTCTAAAGACCAAAATGCTGGCAAACTTCTCCACGGACAGGATCTGCACAGCATGCCGTGCCCTGATTGGGGGTCCGTCCTATGCTGCACAACTCAGAGTTCCCAACATCTGAAGGGGTGTAAAATTATCTATCCTCTTTTTCCTTCTAGTGTTACCCCCAATAAATAATATTTTAATCAATACCTTACAGAGTCTGAGTGCCTTTCTTACTGGGATCACAATGAACGTTAACCCCGGTGCTTTGCACTGGTACACAACATCTATGCCTTTCCCATTGGAAGGCTTCTACATCAGTTGAGATCAAACCAATGTGCTTATGGGGAGGGAAGGGGGAAAAAAAACTCTGTGATGCCCAATAAGGTTTTCCAAATCAAAGCATTACTGGAACCCTGACTTCAGCACATTGCTACAAGACCAGCACAGAGTAGTAAACAATCATCACCCATATTTTTTATTACATCAAACAAAAAACATTAATAGAGTTAAACTTTCACAGTGAAACTTTAGAAGTCCAGAAAGTCCAAGTCTAGGTCTACACAGCCCTCTTAATTCTACCTCCTAGCACATAAAGACAGGAGTAAATCTTGAGTACACAACTGTCAATTTCTCAAATCTAGCAGTGATTTTTCTACATCCCCAGGCTCATGTGCAGCAGCTTGTATTTTACATACACTTTCAATAATGGCACTAATTTAGACATTTTTTATAGATGGTTCTCTGTAATTTAACTATATTTTATAATTATTGTGAGTGCACTTGCACTCTGAGCTGACATCTCCTAGAAGCAATTGTAAAGACAAAGCAATGAATCCACCAGATCTAAGTATGCCTAATTTTGATTTTTCCTGCAACACAGACAAAATATCTTCTAGCTTTTGAAAGTACAATTACTTTCAAAGATTAGCAGGCACACCTAAAGAATCCTCACTACTTCACAATATTATGCAAGCACATTTAATATATGCATGCTGCAAACAGCAAAGACTGCATAAAGGAAAGAGGAATTAGTACCACAAGAGAATGGGCAAGGGCAACAGTGTAACCATACATGTCCTGTTTGTTTTTTTCTAGTAGTTTCCAGTTTTGCTGAAAGGGGGGGGGGGAATGCTCCACTTGACATTTGACATGTCTCAATTGACAATTGAGAACAGGCGGGTGCCCTGGTAGCAAAGGATACAGAGAAGGCAGAGTTATTGAATGCTGTCTTTGCTTCAGTCTTCACTACTAAAGGCCAGTCCTCAGGAATTCCAGACCTTGGAGACAAGAGAGGAAGGCTGGAGAAAGGAAGACTCTCCCTTGGTCGAGGAGGATCAGGTTAGAGATCTTTTGTCCAAACTTGACATCCATAAATCCATGGGCCC